CCCGATCTTTGCGGGCACCGAAGACCAAAATGTCGAGGACTGGCTGTTGTCATACTAGAAAGTCAGTGGACACAGCAGGTGGGATGAAGCTGCTAAGTTGGGCACTGTCAATTTTTATCTCACCAATGTGGCCAAGCTGTGGTATACGAACCACGAAACCGAGTTCGCGAATTGGTTCGCCTTCATGGAGGCGATATGTGCCGTTTTTGGTCGCCCTGCCTTACAGAAGCTATGCGCCGAACAACTTCTGCGCACACGGGCACAGGAGCCAGGTGAAACTTTCACATCATATATAGAAAATGTGATCGATCTCTGCCGGCGCGTCGATGCTTCCACGAGCGAGAGTGCGAAGATACAGCACATTATGAAGGGCGTCGACGATGACGTTTTCCGGATGCTTCTCGCGAAGTCTCCTAGCACTGTGGCAGAAGTAGTGACTTTGTGCCAAAGCTATGATGAATTGCGGAGGCAACGAGCTCAGACGCGACGCTCATTCCAAACAATCCAACCAGTGACCGCACTGGACGTCATGACTGACCAGACAAACCTTCTCTCACAAATGAAAGACTTCGTGCGAGAAGAGGAAGTGGCTCGGCAGGTTTCTCTACTGCCTTTTGCTCAACGCCAGGAGCTCTCGCAGCAACAGCCACTGCGACATCCACCACCATTGGCTCCCATGCTCCGACATGTGGTCCAGGAGCAGATTTCCGAGGCTATGCCGGTGCCCTTGCAGCAGCCCCCCGTCACAGCGCCTCTTACTTACGCTAAGGCACTAAAGCGGCAGCAGCCACACCGCCCCCCACCGTTCCAGGGACTGCCTGCCGTATACCTCAGCCCCGACTCAGCTGTTCACCGCCTGGGTTCCTCCCTTTGCCACCACAGCCTCAACTCACCCGTCTGCCACATGAGCTGCTCCCCTTGTCGCCAATACTTGGAGAACGTGCGATAACCGGCCCATCTGTTTCCCGTGCGGCGGCCCTGGCCATATTGCCCGTTACTGTCGTCGTCACGTGCCGGGATACACAGACGCCCGGACACAGAACAGCTTCATAGACCTTCCTCCATCTCATCTAGAAAATTCTGAGCGTCAGTCAAGCTCATCTTCACGGGAATGTCCGCGTACTATGTCTGGTCGCTCACCTTCACTTCTTCGTCACTCCCTGTCACCCATGCGTCGTTGGCCAGCTCCTGAACACGAGGAAAACTAACCGCCGCAGTTCAGGAGGCAAGAACTGCGCTGTCGAAATGCTCAAGTCCTCGGACATTGCCGTTGAATATTGTCAAAGCTTTTGTAGAAGGTACTCGAGCATATGCTCTAGTGGATACCGGTGCTGACGTTTCCGTGATAGACGCTAAAATTTGCTGCAAGCTCCGAAAAGTGACGACGCCTATTGATATGATGTCCTTGCAAACAGCGAATGGGGACCCGGTTCAGAATCTAGCCGCCTGTACTGTCCGACTGATGGTCGCGAAGGACCACTACACTGTTGAGTTTATTGTCCTTTCGTCATGCTCACACGACATCATACTTGGATGGGATTTTTCATCGCGTAACCATGCCACTATTGATTGTGCAAGATCGGAGCTTGATTTTTTCCCGTTTTATGACAAACCAACCAGCCGCATTCAGCCCACCGTACACAAACTCATCGTCAAAGAAGGCACTGAAATTCCTCCGACAGCCGCTGTGTTGCTCCCCGTGTTCTGTGATGGCATTAGGGATGAAGCTGCATTCTTTGAACCATTAAGCCTCCTCCTAAGTCGAAGATCACTTCTTCTGCCTTCTTCAACCCTCTCTATTTCTGAAGGAAACAGTGCTCTTTGCCTCATCAATCCCCTTCCGTATCCCGTCGAACTGTTTTAAGGTGAATCTCTTGGACACGTGGATGCCATTGATAAAGAACAAATTTTTACCATGCCGCCAGATTGTTCCGGTGACTACGACGCCATCAGTGCCCTCAGCCCTTCCAATATACCACCTTGCGAGCTTTTCGATTCATCGATCGTTGACGGACTATCGCCATCTGAACGCCTTGAGCTTCTTCAGCTGCTCTACCAGTTTCGTGAATCCTTTGACGTTGCTCAAGCTACCCTTGGCCGAACTCCCAGTTTTTTTTACTGCATCGACACAGGTTCTAACGTGCCAGTACGACAGCGACCATACTGTGTTTCTGCCACGGAACGTCAGGTTATCACCGAACAGGTTGACGATATGCTCAAGCGCGACGTTATCCGACCTTCCCAAAGTCCATGGGCATCACCTGTCGTTCTTGTTAAGAAGGATGGTACGCTTGAATAAGATCACTCGCAAAGACGTATACCCTTTGCCCAGGATTGATGACGCCTTTGATTGCTTACAAGGTGCCGAGTTTTTTTCGTCATTAGATTTGCGTTCGGGGTATTGGCAGGAGCCCTTAGCAGATGCCGATCGTCCAAAAACAGCCTTCGTGACACCGGACGGGCTATATGAGTTCAATGTCATGCCCTTCGGCCTCTGCAATGCACCGGCCACATTCGAGTGCATGATGGACTTGGTTCTGCGGGGTTTGAAATGGAACATATGCCTCTGCTACCTCGACAATATCGCCGTCATTGCACCCGATTTCGCAACACATCTTGTACGCCTGAAACATGTCCTCACGTGTCTGAAGAATGCGTATCTCCAACTAAATCTCAAGAAATGCCACTTCGCTGCTTGGACGCTCACCATTCTCGGTCACGTGTTATCAAAAGATGGCGTTCTTCCCGGCCCGGCTAAACTACGCACTGTCGCTGAATTCCCCAAAACGACGACTGTAAAACAGTTACGCAGCTTCGTAGGATTGTGCTCCTACTTTCGTCGGTTTGTGCGCAACTTTGCCTCCACATTTGCCCCTTTGACACAACTTTTAAGCAGTGCCAACAACATCTCATCATGGTCTTCGAAATGTGATCACGCATTTACCACTCTTCGCCGTCTCCTGACATCACCGCCTATATTGCGCCACTATTATCCCACGGCTGCAACTGAAATCCATACAGACGCCAGCGGTGTCGGTGTTGTTTCAGTTCTCGCTCAACGCAAGCCTGGATCCCTTGAGTATGTCATCGCCTATGCCAGCAGAACGCTCAACAAGGCTGAGGTAAACTACAGTGTTACCGAAAAAGAGTGCTTAGCCATACTTTGGGCGATTGTGAATTTCGCCCATACCTATATGGCCGCACTTTTGCTGTAGTTACAGACCATCATGCCTTATGTCGGTTGTCGCTGAAGGATCCATCAGGTCGCCTTGCTCGTTGGGCTCTGCGACTTCAAGAGTATGACATCCACGTCGTGTACCGTTCCGGCCGCCAACATACCGACGCTGATGCGCTCTCACGATCACCACTGTCCACTGAGGTTGCCTCTATATCTTCTATAGAACACTCGCTGTCCGCTCTTGACATCAACACAATGACCTCTGCACAGCGCAACGATCCATGGATAACTTCGCTTCTGGACATCTTATCTGGGGTAACGACACTTCCCACCACTCGAGCAATGCGACGCTAGGCTTCGCACTTCACCATTCGAGGTGGCCTCTTATACCGGCGGAATTACTCGCCAGACGGCAGAAGTGGCTGCTCGTTATTCCCCGAAAGCTGCGCTCTACAATCTGTGCATCATTTCACTCCGACCAGCAATGCGCTCACGCCGGTGTCTTCAAGACCTACAAACGTTAAGAAAACGGTACTACTGGCGTGGGATGTTTACTTGTGTTCGACAGTTTATACGCGGCTGCCATGAGTGTCAGCGACCGAATGCAGGAGCAGCTCCACTACAGCCGCTTGCGTTCCCTGACCGCCCATTCGATCGCGTCGGAATCGACCTTTATGAACCACTGCCATTAACCACAGCTGGTAACCGGTGGGCTGTCGTTGCTGTAGATCACCTGACACGGTATTCCGAAACCGCTGCTCTTCCTACGGCGACCGCTCAGGACGTCGCATCTTTCATCCTCCATCGGTTTGTGTTGCGTCACGGCCCTCCTCACTAGCTTCTCAGTGACCGTGGCCGTGTATTTCTATCCGACGTAATCCAAGCACTTCTCCGTCAGTGCTATATTGTACACCAGATGAGTACTGCTTACCACCCTCAGACGAATGGCCTGACTGAGCGGTTATAATCAGACCCTGTGTGACATGCTCGCGGCGCATGTGGCATCTGACCAAACGAACTGGGACCCGGTTCTTCCGTTTGCGACCTACGCGTACAACACCGCTACCAAAGTCACCACCGGCTTTTCCCCATTCTACCTTCTATACGGACGTCAACCATCGCACACAATTGACACTTTGCTGCCATAAGCACCAGATGTATCTGAGTGCACGACCTTGTCTGAAGCCGCCAGTCATGCCGAAGAATGCCGCCAACTAGCAAAGCAGTTTACTACGGCTGACCAGCAATGCCAGAAAAAGGCCCACGATGACGACCACCCTCCTGCCACAAAGTTCGCCCCTGGAACCCTGGTATGGCTGTGTGTACCACCCTGTGCACTTGGTTTGTCTACCAAGCTACTTTCAAATTACCATGGTCCATACCGCGTGGTAGAGCACACATCGCCCGTCAATTACGCCATTGAACCGCTTACGCTGCTCGGTGACCATCGTCAACGTGGACACGATATTGTTCACCTGGACCGCTTGAAGCCGTACTTCGAACCGCTCGTTCTCACCTGTTAGATCACCAGGATGGCTTCATCTTTCTCGACGGGGGCAATTAAAATGAAGGAATGATGACAACAACGGGGAACAACAAGCATCATCGCAGAGTAAGGCACCACGAGATCGGCGCTCGGGCTCCTCCATCTTCCTCATCTTGTCGCTATCTCGAATCTTCCACCTGCCCGTTTGGTTCGCCCAATAAACCTCTTTACAAATGTATATCTTGTCAGCAAAAAAAAAACAAAAAACACTGACTCGATTGTTTAAGGGCACTTTCACCATTCAAACTAGTATAACTATAAAGTAAACCACAATGGTTAATAGACAGTAGCTTTTATTAAATTCTGCACTTCTCAATGCAAAAGTACAAATTCCATTATCAGGTTTCATAAATTAGTGACTTGCCACCATTTGTTACTTGGGTGCTAGAAGAAATATAATACCAAAGATGGCACGGGACAAAAACGGTACCATCAGGCCACATAAAATTGCACTTGCAAAAGTTAACAGTGGCCCGGCACTCTGGCACCCAGAATAAAAAGAGGCCAAGTAATGTGCATAGGGGGGCCAGTTGGTACAACATAGAATCTGAACTAAAACTGTGTGAGTGATGGAACACAAGTTGAAGTGCCCGTCCTAGCAACTTCTTCTACTTGTGTTCCATCACTCACCGAGTTCAGTTTCCATAAAAAGAGAGAATGGTGGATACGCTTTCTAAAACCATAATGTGATCATGAGGCATGCAGCATTGGCAGACTCCAGATCAAGTCTGACCATCTGGGTTATTTTCCTTATTCAGCTGAATCTGAGTCCACAAGTGTTTCGACAGTCCACCTCCACTGAAATGTAGCCACTATGAGTCGAAATATTGTCCTTAAGTTAAGCAGCACAGAATGTTAGCCACTAAGCTATTACTGTGAATGATGCATAGGCTTTGATTCTAAATTTCACACGACTCGTTAAAGACAGTTTAAGAAGGCTTTCCAGCAAGATGTAATCACTACTGAAAATTCTTTGGATTTTGTTAGAATAGAAAATGGTACAATTTTTAGAATTTTGCGTCTCAAAACCACAATATGATTATGAGGCACACCATAGTGGAGGGCTCCGGAAATTTCGACCACCAGCGGTTCTTTAATGTGGGCCTAAGATTTAGCACACAGGCCTTTGGCATTATGCCTCCGTGAAAGTGCGGCTGTCGCAGCCAGAATTCAATCCTTTAAGTCAGCAGCTGATCACCATAACCACCCCGGCTGGTATTAGCTTAGAAACTAAAAAAAAAAAAACAGATTATAACTGTTGAAGCAACGTCACTACTATATCCACGTGAATTAAATGCCAGCATTAGGGCCTGGCATCTAAGATGACTAGCTCACGTGTCATGATTATGGCCATGTATGAAACACAAATATTTCAGAGGTCACTAAAAAGAAAAACTTGAGTTAGGTATTAGCAAGCTTCGTACGTATAAACCTAAAAAACATTGAGAAATGTACACCGCAGAAAATCAGGAAATTTACTTAGGCACCAGCACAGCAGATCAGATAAGTGGGGCTGCAACATTATTGTGCTAGTTTTATGCCATTTCTGTAAGGCCATTTCTATATGACTGCGTTGATTGAGGAAAGCCGCATCTGAAAGAAAAAAAAAGCAAAATCCTCCAGTAGAATAAGATGTGTTTGGACTCCTGTAAAAATTCAGCACAGCTGTGGCACATCTGTCTTTCACTTCTGGCATGAACAGTGCCACTAGCAATGTTCATGCCACACTCACGCAGGATCTTGCACAAGCAGCCACACAGATATAAATTTGAGGTACAGAAGCTCTTGGTAGCATACGATATTCATGTCAACATGGTGAACCAAGTAAACTCAAGTGAAATTAGTTCAGCTCAATATGAGCTGAGTCTTGTTAAGTTGCAGTGTACACAGAATGAAAGGTCTCGAAATGACATGAAAGGCCTTGCCACTCTCTAGAAGACTTGCATGCCCTCAATAACTCGCTACTTCTTAAAGACAACCGAACAGACAGGTGATACAAAAGGCTATGAGGCCAATCGGTTGTATCAAGGCTAATTGAATAGTGAAATAAGCAGTATTATTGTATGTCCCTAGCAGGCTTCGAGTGCCTCCATTGATTAAAAATGGCATCTTCAGAGTTCATGAATAAAAGCTCTCAGATATCGATAAGCAGATCCAAGCCACGCTCTTTTTCTTCCTTTCGTTTCCGCTCTTCTATCAGTTTCCGAAAGCGCATCCCGTGCCGTCGGTGAAGCTCGGCAAATGTATACTTTGTCGATGAGCGCGACGACACCGGGGTGCTAGTTGGGACACTGCCACGCTTGGCCACTTCACCACTCTCGTTACCACTACACCCGTCTTCCTTCCAGCGGTCGAAAGGGTTAAAACGTGCTGCATGGCCCGACGGAGTATCTCGCACGCACAGGCAGCTGTCAGAGCGGTTCCCAGGCAGCTGCCCTCCGATGAGCAAGGGCACAGTGTTGCCGCACTTAGGCCAGTCGTTCAGCTTCTGCAACTTGGCTGAGCTGGCGTTGCAGTTCAGCAACCATGAGCTTCATGTAGTCATAAGAGGCACATGCCAATGCTTTCATCCAGGCCTCCATCGACTCTTGTGTGTCAGCTGACAGCATGTACATCCGGTTGCCAGACCCATGAAATACAACCTTCCACCACAAGAGAGAGAGAAAAAGAAATGTCACTGCACAAAACACATCTTCAAGTGCTTTTCAGTGCTCAGAGAGAACCACGGCAATTTCACTCTTGAGCGCAGTGCTGCAAGTAAGCTCCACAGTGCTATTTCATTTAGGAAAACCACCCAAGGATATTTTAAAAGCCAATCACTCTCATAGAGAATTTTAGTTAGTTCTCAACAGCGATAGAAACAAGAATACAGCATGTAAATGTTCCCGAAACAGCACTAAAGGAGCACAGTTCGGTTCCTCTAAAATCCTAACAATTTAGAAAATATGCACTCTAGTGTGGGTATATACCTGCAGTAGCACTGAAAGGCAGGTATGTTGAAACCTATCTATTGTTGAGTGTCACTATCAGAACAAGAGATTCTTTTCATTGATCAGTGAATAGCTTGTGTGTGGATCACATTTTCTGTGTATAAATTTTCTACATAAAATTCTTCATTTGTTAGGCCAGCACTTCTCCCATCTGCTTTTTTTGTGTATTGCCTGTTTACATGTCACCCAACGATGGAAGGGTATATAACCTTGTGCAACTCGGGCCGCCAATTCTTGAGCAAGCAAACTAAGTTCAGGCTTTGTAAGTGACAGGGGTTCCCAGTCAGTATGAGTAAGCACACCTTTTTTTGTCCCATAATATAGATAATCACATCAATTAAATGCACTGCTTGTCTGGCTAAAAGAGCGACCAGTACAGGTTGTTACCATGAATGGTTAGGGGCCACAGCAAAATTAAAAGTAGGGCAGAACTGAGACTGTCCACGTGTTCACCACTTCGAAAAAATGCACAACCGATGCAGTAAGCATCGTAAAAGCAAAATAAGGTGCATTGATTGCTATGTAAAAAAAGAAAGACGAGTCCGGTGATTTAATCATCTCGGAGAGGTAAAGTTGGCACTTGGGGCTTCTGCTCAAAAGTTGGGACTCTCCCATTAAGTGCGACATTTAGGGGCAACCTCAGGTACAACTACCTTTCTGAATATTCTGCTCTGCTGGCTTGGATTATGAGCAAGATAATAGATTCTACCTTTCTGAAGCCAATCTAGAAAAGCTGAGTAGACATACTGCAACAGTATATGAGTTTACTTATTGGTAGCTACAAACTTATGTCCTTTTTATTTTTTGAGTAAATGACTATGTTCACTTTCAGTAAAGTTCCGTGTTCCTACAGATTCTAACAAATAACATTAATTTTGATTAATAATTTTTTTGAACCACTTGCCAAAAAGTTTGGCATTAAGTGGTGAGTGCAACAGACTGAGCAGCAAGAAAACTGTTCTCATTTTGAAGCAGTTCAGCGTGTGCTAAAAATTAGATTTGAGAAATTAAAAATTTGCTTTGACAGCTGCTATGAGACTAAAAAAGGTAGCGACGTAAGTTTCAGCCATCACGTAGTAAACCAAGGGTTTAAGACATCGATGATGTACAGTGGGCTACGAGAGTGGCCATACAGGAGGGCTCAAGTTTCTCCACCTGTGGCATATCTTCAGTGGTCATTCTCAAAGATATGGTCACCTTGACATAAATGTTACATGACCAACACACTGGACATGTCTGTGTACACAGTTGACAACATTCCTGGGTCTGTACCAAACTTAGTGCAGTACGTACCAGGAACCCTGTCAGCCATAAACTTGAGCATGCACCGCTTGGATGTATGAAATATAGCAAGAGAGAACAGTACTTGTGAACGATAAAGGTCAACTAGTCAACTCGGTTTCCATCTACACCACAGAGTCGGAAATTGCCGAGCAAGTAGCCATTGCATTGGCACTTTTAGACCCAAATAGCTCGAACACCCGCAGCGACTCTAGGGCAGCCATGCGAGCATTTGCCAAAGGATTAATTTCTAGACAGGCTCTGGCAATGCTCGAGGGAAAAGTAATCAAGCCACATGCGATTATTTGATTTCCTGCTGACATGGGAGAAATCAATAGTGCTCCCACGAACCTCAACGAATCTGCCCACAAAGCTGCACGAGCACTTGTCAACCATGCAGCCACAAGCCAAGAAGATGCTGAGGTTTCAGAATGCAAGGATCACATCCTCCCGTGCAACGAGCTAACGAAACATTTCTATCTAGCACTGCAGGTTCTTCCCCCTCCACACAGCAAACTAAACAAAGCTCAGGCCATTACGCTCAAGAAATTATAAACAAGAACCTATCCAAACCCACTGTTAATTAACAGGATTTATCCAGAGTTCTGTGGCCATACCACTTGATAAATGTCACGACACCATAGATCTTGCTCATAAGCTCTGGTATTGCTCTGCATTACGCAGCGACAAGGGAAATACTGAACGGTGGGACGCAGCTTTGCGCAGTCCTACATTAGAGGGACAACTATGGGCAGTTCAACGGGCCAGCGAAGCGGCTGAAAGGCTAGGTCTTTCAGTCCTAATGTGGGAGCGGCCTAATTCGGGGAAGGACACTAGCACGACCTACCTAATGTACCTAAATAAATTCTTTCATGTATCCATCACTTCCCCTCAAATTGATTGCTCAAAAATGCCAACCTTGAGTTTCTTCAACCTACAACTAGTCTAATAAATGAGCATGCCTGCATTATGCCTTCATAGGGATGCAGAAACCACAGCCACTAAGACAATGTAACATTGGAATACTTCCTTATAACACACTTCGTATGTAGCAGGTACATACATTATTGCACACACTTGTAAACACAAGACGGTGTAAGGTGTCCATAATTTTTTGTTTTCTTGAAACACCATGTACCCGAGATTGAGCATTGTATTTCATGCACTCGTTAGCCTATCCTTTCATGAACAAGCAGAGTTGAGATAAATGCAGGAAATTCCCACCTTGAAAGCAAACATCTCCTCATTCTCAGCCAGTTCAACAGTGCAGCCTTCGAGGATGACCACACCCAATGGTTCTCGGTCAGTCTTCTTTTCAAAGTAGAACAACAAGTTTCCCTTCAGGAGGAACCAGCGCCTCTGGTAGGCACGATTTACTTCACCACGTTTTAGCAGCCAGCCTTCCCTGTCGACTGGGCTCGAGCTTAGTGCAAAGCTCACCAAGTTTTTGTCATTTATCTTCATGATTCCTGCATGCAATGAATAGAAGAAAAATGTTTTCTCGAAATTTAAAATTATGCTATTCACAATTCCAAGTGTAAAAAAGCCAGCCACATACAGGTCACCCTATTAAGGAAACAGGGTAAGCCCTATACCCACCGTGTACTTTAGGCGAAGTTTATGTACCTTTTTCTCCACAAGCATAAGAGCTACAGTAAATATTTTACTATCATTATTATTACGAGCAATTCCTCTTTTTACTGAAGAATATTTAGTGCTGAAAATTGTAATGGTAATTTTTAATGAATTTTTTTACCTCAGGTACATAATTATCACTCGATAATAGCTATTAGAGGTTGTGTTGCAGAAGAGCACTTTTGCACACAACAATAATTCTGCTTCAACATATTCATTATTACATTATCTAAATACTCGCCGAAATCTAGGATTCTACCATACCGTGGTTGCTGAGAAAAAAAAAAGAAAACAAGTAAAAAAAGCACGTTTTGAGATAAACACATTTAAAGTTGAAAATCTGCATTATATCGAAAGTACAACGAGATAACAGCAAACTGACAGACCCGTTCAATAGTCACCAGCCAGATGTTCACCCCTAACATCATTTTTTTTCCTTTTGTGTTGAAATGTTCTTGCCTGGCGAGCATTTGTCACCTGCTATGCATCCATGTCAGCACTGTACTGTCAATGCAGTTCAAGGGCTCGTAAACCCTGCACTGTGCAGTACCCTGGTGAAATTCCCAAATAGCTCAGCACATTCACATGGGCTATATTGCCATCATTAAAAGTGAACACAGCATCAAGTGTGCATATTTACAGTGTTTGGTGCCCGATAAAAATGTGTTTTTTTTTTTTTTTTTGGAGCGTGCTCCCACACGACAGTCCAATGACTCGTTATACTTTTGAGTTTTTCCATGAAGGCATTTAGCAAGTAGTTCTGGACGAGTTAGTGCCACATAATTTGGCTCAACAGCCTCAATGACACATGCTGAAAGGTGTTCTTTATGAGCAAACAGTTCACCATTCAACTGGGCTTTGTTGAACTTGCACAAAGTTTCGGTGTCATCCCCGCAAAGGCCGTGGGATTGATTGTTATCTTTTGATGACATGTGAAAATATGTGAACCGGACAGCTTTTCGCATGTCCTCCAAGCTGGCTGTATTTCTTTTAATGGCCCAATGATAATAGTTTTGGCACTTGCCAATAATGACACCACTAAGACGTCCCCGACCAGATATAGATTTCTTGACGGAAAGCTTGATGTCTCTGCTTTTTTTTGTTTTCGCATTTCTGGGCCCATTTTTTTCTGAATGTGCTAAATGCTCTTCAGCTTGCAAACTGTAACTTCGCCATATGGCTATGATGCTGGCTACGTAATAATGGGAGCATGGCATGCCGCCGGACAAGTTTAAAAATGTGTCATTTTTAGAGAAAAAAAGACGTACTAAGACAAATGACTGATTCTGGTTGAGAAAAGGCTGCAGATTTCAAATAACACAAGAAAGAAAAAAATGGTTTGTTTTCAATAGTTTGGTTAACCTGTCGCCTTAAGCATAACACTTACAAAAGTAAAAAAAAAACTAGATTACTACATACAGCAGCTGTAATAATCTATTATTAAGGTGGGCCATCACTGTGGCCCAGTGGTTCCGATGTTCAGCTGCTGACTTGAAGATGCGGGTACAATCCTGACGGCTGCGATTGCACTTGAATGGAACCAGAATGCTAAAGAAATGCTACTCTGCAGTGTTAGAGTGGGTTAGAGAATCTCAGGTGATCAAAATGATCAGAAACTGGCCTCCACTACAGCGTCTCTCAGACTAAGTCATTCCGCGATGTCAAACCCCTCCGACCAACATTTTATAGAAGCACTTTCGTTGTGTTAAGAGTATCAATCGAAGGTTTGACATCCAAAATGATGCATTGGGTGGAAGGAAAATGTATAACTAAACGTGATAAAAGGAACACACACTTTAAAAAAGTGTAAAGACCATCCAGCGTAGAGCCATTGCATAATGATATCAAGTATAAGCTAAGTATAAGTATAAGCTATATGTGGGTTTGCGTGCCAAACCCACGATATGTTTGTGAGGCGCGCGTAGTGGAAGGGCTTCAGAAATTTCGACCACCTGGTGTTCTTTAGCGTGCACTGACATTGCACAACACACGAACCTCTGGCGCCTCGCCTCCATCGAAATGCGACCGCCGCCGGAGGAATCGAGCCCGCGACCAGTAGCTCAAGGAAAGGTGTTCACCTGCTACACTCGAGGACGCAGGTTCGATTTTCAGCTACGGCGGCCACCACTAAATGAAGGGCGCGAAATGTATGAACACAATTGTACTTGGGTTTATTTCAAGCGAGGTGAAAGCGAACTTAAGGTGGCTAATAAGAGCCTCAGGCAGTCAAAGTTACACCACGGCCGCTGGTTACACCAATGTTTTCTATTACGATGTGCCTTAAAATTGTAGTTTTTGCCCGTAAAGTCCCATCTTTTTTATTTTTTTGTTTTGGCTATACGGGTAGCATGCCACCGATCAGCAATTAAAAACATCCAGCCACTAAGGTGCGACTACTCGGCATCTGCAGCCAGCCCACCCAGCCGCCTCCACATCTACACAAACGAGTCTTAATCAAAGCCACTAACACTTTCGCTCACCTCAATAGTTGCTGGCAAGAAGGGCATCAGTAGGCTTTACACAACGCAAAGCTGGTATTTTGACACAAGCAACAAGCCGCAGGGCGATGTCAGAACTGCCAGAATATAGACACAAGTGACTAGAGTCTGTGCTGAAGCACCCCCGCATAAGCTGAAGGTGTAGCGCTCGGCAGGCACTGAAGTAGTTGCAGTGCGCGGAAAAGCCACGCGGGAAGAAAGATAACGCTGACTTCGCTGCACAGTCAGAAATATCTTAGGAGGCGATGTGTTTGATCCTTCTCTGCATTTTGTCAGCTGGCTACGACTTCACACTGAAATGGCTCATGATGGCTTATACGGCGTATACAACTAGTTTTTGACTATGTTTTTGACCATAAAACTAAGTTTTTGACCTCCGTTGTTTTATGCAAGCTTTTATGTTATCTCATTTGTGTTCAGTAAGTAGTATTTTAAGTATATATTAACAGAATATGGCTCAACCAACAAAAGTGGTTAACATTGTCTCTTTCTTGATCCCCTTGGTCGGTCAGTTGCGTTTAATTAAAGCGCGGTATTTTAACGGCGCCATAGTTCACCCAGAATGAGAGTGATTCATGCTCTAAGGCCAGCTCTGCGGTTCAGAAATAGCATCCTAGGCGACAATACTGGTGTGCATGTGATCAGAAATGCTGACAATTACATTGCCGTAAAACGTCTCACCTAGATGACACATTGCAGACCGTGCCCCATTTTAACTAAGGCGCGTATACACATTTTCTTTAAAGAGACCCCTTTACAAAACGATTGTTGTAGCGCGAGATCAGAACGACGGCAAAGGGACAAGAACAAGATGAGCGCTCGTCTTATTCTTGTCTCTTTGTCGTCGTTCTGATCTCGCGCTATAACAATCGTTATGTCATACTAGCCAGCCCAAACTGCTGCGCCCCTTTACAAACATGTTCGCGTGTGCGTTTGCATGTTAATTTCAGGGCCAGGCGTTCAATTCCCTAAGCCACCCTACGCGTAAAGTGGGTTTTTCCCTACAAGTTCCACTGTTGTGGAGAAGACAGCTTTGGTGAAATTTTGAACAAAGATGGCACGTCGGAAATAAATTTGTTTGGTCCAATGCAGATATAGGATCTCGTTCAACGCTACACAATTATTTATAAGTAATTAAGTTGGTTTCACTTCGCTAAGCGACGTGAATGCTTCAAAGCTTTAAAATAAAAAAAGCGAGAAAGCGTTCAAAACAGGAAACAACGTAAATCGCAAGATGTAATTTTATTAGAGAGCTTACAGGCGGAAAAAGAGAGAGACATCAATAATTATCACAAGCGTGTGAATGTGCTATTTTTAAGAGGTGGCTGTAAGACATCATCACACGGATAAATAATTATATGACTAAGAATCGGTATTATGTAAAAATGCCTTTTCAGAGCGACGGTGCGTCCATGTTATCAGCGGGATCAGCCGCCCACCACATGGTAGGGGATAAAACTTATAAGACTACCATGGAATGATTGACGTAAGCTTTCACCACTCCATAATTTTAAATCGAGGCGTGAAGAACACGTATAGAAAAATTCAGCACCGAGCTACACTACATTGCAAGATATATAAACAAATAATTTCGCACGCTCATCCGTAATTTCTCAGCATTTACAAAGCACTGGTCCAAATAATATATATATATATATATATATATATATATATATATATATATATATATATATATATATATATATATATATATATATATATATATATATATATATATATTGTAGGCATCTATTATGCGCTTCATCCTCATCTGAACAGCAGTCAATCATCATCATATGTTCTGGCTGACAATCATCATCTGCTTGGCACGAGCGCTTCTTTGTCGGGTCCGTTGCGCTTGTTCGTTCCCGAGTTCACGGCCAATAAACCTCGCTACAACCGAGTCGTCATACGTGGTGGAGGTGGATTGACGTTCCCAGTACATCTACTTACAACGCCTACTCGCTGGAGCTCCGTTCAGGCCGCCGCTTGGACCCTCAGTCCGCCAACATGTCTCAGAGTGAGTGGGTGGATGCCCTTTCGGCTCCCGTCTCTGCGCCGCAAGCCGTCTCTGCGCCGCAAGCCGTCACTGCGCCGCAAGCCCCTCCTCTTTACATCGTAAACCACCAGCGTGACCCTCCGATCTTCGCTGGTCTCCGCGGCGAAGATGTGGAGGACTGGCTCGATAACTACGAGCGGGTCAGCGCAACTAATCACTGGGACGACTCTAACAAGCTCCGCCGAGTATCACTTTATCTCACGGGCGTTGCCAAGACATGGTTCTTGAACCATGAGATCGACCTCACCGACTGGCCTGCCTTCAAGCAGCAGCTTCGCCAAGTATTCGGCACACCAGCCGTTCGATCTGCTCTAGCGAGGAGGGCCCTAGATACTCGCCAACAACATCCCGGCGAGTCATACACATCTTATATCGAGGATGTCCTTGCGCTTTGCCGGCGCGTCAATTCTTCGATGTCCGAGTCGGACAAACTGCGCCACATCCTGAAGGGCATCGGAAGCATTGCCTACAATGCCCTTGTTGCCCAGAATCCTTCTACTGTCACGGACGTCATCTCTACGTGTCAGCGTCTCGACGAACTTGATTCTGTTCGCCTTCAGTCGGGCAATAGTGAACACCGTACCGCAGACCGGGACCTGCGTGACATGATACGGGAGATCATACGAGAAGAACTTCAATCAATGGGTATCTCAAAACCTTCTCCATCTGTCACACAGCCTTCAAGCATGGCCCTCCGTGACATCGTAAGGGAGGAACTAACATCATTCACCGGTCCAGCCTACGTCCAGCCACCTCCGTCTAGCCCTCCAACGTACGCGCAAGTTGCGGCCGCGCCTCCTCGCAACGTAAACTCTACTTCACCGCTGCCATCATTCACGCCGGTTGCTGCTGCACCACCGGTCCACTTCCGGCCAATCCCACCCGAACCTCCGTCAGTCCACTTGAGTGCGCTATCTCCCGGTGTGCCGAACGCCCTCTACTACCCGCCTTGGCGCCCGTCTCGCCCAACATGCTTTTACTGTGGATATCGTGGCCATATATCGCGCTTCTGCCGCAAGCGCCAGCAGGACGAGCGTCGCGGGTACGACATGCGCGAACGGGACTTTTCCAGAGGGGACTCTTACGCTCGGAGTTATTCATCTGGACAGCAGCGGTCTCCATCTCCGCCCGCGTCAACTGAGACGCGGAACACTTACCGGTCAAGCCGACGCCGATCACCTTCGCCCTTCCGTCGCTCCTCCTCTCCTCTTCGGCCAGCCTCGTTTACTACTGATAACCGGTCGGAAAACTAAATGATGCAGTTTTCGGAGGAGAAACTGCATGTAACAGTAGGACTCATATTCCTCCAGCACGCCCGTTCAACATGGTTTCTGTTACGGTGGAAGGAGTTCTCGTGGACGCTTTGGTGGACACCGGTGCTACAGTTTCTGTGATTAGGTATGATTTGTGCAAACGCCTGAAGAAAGTAATGACACCTTATAATGGACCCAATCTAGTCGAAGCCCAGGGGAACGCTATCCGCCCTTTTGCTCTTTGTACTGCTCGTGTGTTTATTGATGACATTTTGCATTACATCGAGTTCACTGTGCTTACTCGGTGCTCTCACCAGCTGATTCTAGGGTGGGACTTCCTATCTTCTTCTTCAGCCGCTATATGTTGTGGTGAACGGATTCTGCACCTAACTAATACGGACTCCATGTTCGACGAAGGCGTCTACAAGCCTCTACGCCTGTTCGCTCGCGAAGATCTCGAACTACCGCCACACCAAGAACGAATTGTGACCCTGATTTCTAAGGACATCGACCACGGTGACGTCTTGGTGTCCCCTTCGTCGACTTGTGTCGCAAAAGGCATAGCCCTTGCATCAGGTGTCGTACGCTTTCACCATGGCTCCGCGCTCGTCATTGCTACGAATGAAACGCCAGAGAAAGTTCTCCTGCCAGAGGGCACTGCAGTAGCCTGTGTTGTGGATGCTGAGCCTGTCAGCGTCACGCCACTTAACCCTGCCTCTACCAACGACCGTTCTATGAGTAAGCCTGCCTCATCCTCTCCCTTCACAGCTCTTATCAGTGATGACTTAACAGCTATGCAGGCGCAGCAGTTGCTTGCGTTATTAACGAAACACGCCGATTCTTTCGACACCTGCTCCTCAACGTTGGGCCGAACTACCACTGCAGCGCATCGCATTCAGACGGAGGGAACATCTATTGTACATCGCCGCCCGTACCGCGTGTCTCTCGCTGAGCGAAAAATCATCGAGGAAAACGTCGCTGACATGCTCCAACGAGAAATAATTCGTCCATCAACTAGCCCTTGGTCATCCCCTGTTGTTTTGGTACGGAAAAAAGATGGCTCCGTGCGCTTTTGCGTTGATTACCGGGCACTTAACAGCATCACACGCAAGGACGTATACCCCATGCCACGCATCGACGACGCCCTTGATTCACTGCAAGGCGCCGAATACTTTTCAAGCCTTGATTTGCGTTCGGGATATTGGCAAATTCCCATCCACGATGACGACAAAGAAAAAACGGCATTTGCAACCCCCGATGGCCTATACGAGTTTAACGTGATGCCTTTCGGGCTCTGCAATGCGCCCGCGACGTTTGAACGCATGATCGACACCGTACTGCGTGGTCTGAAATGGAAGACGTGTCTCTGCTACCTTGATGACATTATCATCTTTTCATCAACGTTTTCTCAGCACCTGAGCCGCTTGGATGACGTCCTAACATGCCTCGCCGGTGCGGGTCTGCAGCGCTCAACACTAAGAAGTGCCGTTTCGCCACCAATCCATCAAGGTTCTCGGTCATGTCGTCAGCAAGGACGGTATTCGCCCTGACCCCGAAAAGATCGCTGCCGTCCTTCGATTTCCATGCCCCACAAGACTTAAGGATTTGCGAAGTTTTCTTGGCCTCGCATCATATTTTCGTCGCTTCATACAAAATTTCGCTTCAATAGCTGCGCCACTTCACAAACTACTTGCATCTAATGCACCCTTTGTGTGGTCCGAGGAATGTCAGTCGGCGTTTCACCTATTGAAGAAAGCTTTGACGTCAGAGCCTGTACTCTGCCATTTTGATGACACCGCCCCAACACTCCTGCATACCGACGCCAGCGGTTGCGGTATAGGTGCTGTTCTCCTCCAACGCGATAACTCTGGACGGGAAAGGGTCATCGCATATGCTAGCCGAGTGCTAACTTCTACCGAAAGAAACTATACCATCACTGAGCAGGAGTGCCTCGCTGTGGTTT